CCTTTGCCCTTCTGCCAATCCATCGCCATGCCAGATCCCCTGCACGGAATCCCTCGCCCTGGTCTAGTCCCTCCGTCTCTTCACCTTCTCTCCTCCGCTGCATCCTACATGAAAATGGGCTTCTTACGCATAAGCGAATTCACAAACTCTCACGCCACCTTTAATGCATCCCGAGACATTGCCTTCTCTGACCTGTCATATTATCCCGACTACTTCAACCCCCACCTCAAGCATTCCAAACGCAAAGGCGCTTGCAACATAGTCATAGCTCGTTCTGAAACTTCTACCTGTCCCTACAGATGTCCCCCAACTGGTTCAGAGCCCAACTCAAGTCCGTACTGCTGCTTTGTAACCTGTCTCCCCATCTCTACACAGCCCACTCCTTCCGGATAGGCGCCGCACGCGCGCCGCGTCCCTGGGGCTCCCCCATTCCGCCCTCCAGCAGCTGGGCCGCTGGTCATCATCGGCCCTCTCCTCATACATCAGGCCTGACACTTCGACCATCCTGGCAGCCCAGCGCCTTTGGCATCTCCATAAAACACTCGCTAAACTTCCTGGTGGCGGCAGCAGATGAGTATCCGCAAGTTTTGGTCACAGTATATAGCGGTCACAGTATATAGCAAAAAATGGTTAGCGCATGATGGTCATCAGCATATAGCGATAGCGGTCACAGTATATAGCGATAGCGGTCACAGTATATAGCGATAGCGGTCACAGTATATAGCGATAGCGGTCACAGTATATAGCGATAGCGGTCACAGTATATAGCGATAGCGGTCACAGTATATAGCGATAGCGGTCACAGTATATAGCGATAGCGGTCACAGTATATAGCGATAGCGGTCACAGTATATAGCGATAGCGGTCACAGTATATAGCGATAGCGGTCACAGTATATAGCGATAGCGGTCACAGTATATAGCGATAGCGGTCACAGCATAGAGCAGTCTCGACGTTCTGTCCCCTCCAAACCAGGCTGCAAAACTCCATCAACTCACAGCCTTTTTGGGGATTGTGCGCGCTCCATCGCAGGAGCCTCTCCGATCTGAAGGCCGCACCGGGACCTAGGGCGCCAAACCTCCTCCCAATAAAATACGCAAAAGCTTCTTGTTTTCTCGTCTCTCCAAATTGAAATGAAGAATGTTTTGGCAGCTCGGACGATCTCCCGGAGAGAAGAAGAAGTCACTCCATCGGGCGTTCCACAATCTCAGGTCCTGTTTCATCATCTGCTCATTAGGAAAAATAAATGTGGAGTTGACTTCAAACAGAACAGTCCGGTCTCACACAAACCACACGTCACGATTATTAACGAAAGGAATGAGTTTGGAATGAGTTTGGATCCGTGGGAGGAGGCGGGACCACCGGGGGCTTGGCTGACCTTTAACCCCTCCCTCTCCTCGAAGGATGTGTCAGCCCAGCAGGACGCCTCTCCACAGCCACATCGGCGCCAAGTTGGAACGCTTGATTTGTGAAGTCTCTGAGCTGAGCAGACCGGTCCAGGAGAGAAACTAGGTCTGCGTGTGCTTTTGCGTCTGTCCCAGCGGCGCCTGGATGTAAATGTGTGTCGGGTAAGAAGCTGGAACACAACAGCCCCAACCCCTCTCTCTTTCTTTACTTCTTTGGTTTCTCTTTTAAGCTGAAATCTGAGGGAAATCTAAAACCAGTCACAAATTGGCGCCGTCTGAACAAAAACAATCTTATAAATGTGTCTTTTTTTAGCTTTTTATACGAATCCAAACAGAGTGGGATTGGATGGAGTGGATGAGGGAGCACTGGGAACAGGCAGTGTCATTGTGTCCTTGGGCAAGACACTTCACCCCCCTTTCCTTGTATGACTCTGACGTCTGATTGGTTGTTGTTGTCCAGTTCTGTCTGGTCTGATAACTGCTGTAGTGATTTAGGGCGATGCACAAATACATATAATAATAATAATAACTAGAAACCGTTGCAATGGCTGAAGCCATTGCGATTGACTGCGAAACAGATCTAATGTGGAATTTAGCTGAAAAATCCTTGCTGAAAAAAACTGTTAAAATACTTTAAACATCTTTGAAACTCCTGAAGTATTTGAAGCTCCTGATATCCTTTAAACTGTTATCCTTTATACTGGTTTACATGTAAAAACCCCTATTAAGTTGCATTATACTGGTTTACATGGAAAAATCCCCATTAAGTTGCATTATACTGGTTTACATGTAAAAAACCCTATTAAGTTGCATTATACTGGTTTACATGTAAAAATCCCTATTAAGTTGCATTATACTGGTTTACATGTAAAAACCCCTATTAAGTTCCATTATACTGGTTTACATGTAAAAAACCCCTATTAAGTTGCATTATACTGGTTTACATGTAAAAACCCCTATTAAGTTGCATTATACTGGTTTACATGGAAAAATCCCCATTAAGTTGCATTATACTGGTTTACATGAAAAAAACCCTATTAAGTGGCATTATACTGGTTTACATGAAAAAAACCCTATTAAGTTGCATTATACTGGTTTACATGGAAAAATCCCTATTAAGTTGCATTATACTGGTTTACATGGAAAAAACCCTATTAAGTTGCATTATACTGGTTTACATGTAAAAACCCCTATTAAGTTGCATTATACTGGTTTACATGGAAAAATCCCCATTAAGTTGCATTATACTGGTTTACATGTAAAAACCCCTATTAAGTTGCATTATACTGGTTTACATGGAAAAATCCCTATTAAGTTGCATTATACTGGTTTACATGGAAAAAACCCTATTAAGTTGCATTATACTGGTTTACATGTAAAAACCCCTATTAAGTTGCATTATACTGGTTTACATGGAAAAATCCCCATTAAGTTGCATTATACTGGTTTACATGAAAAAAAACCCTATTAAGTTGCATTATACTGGTTTACATGAAAAAACCCTATTAAGTTGCATTATACTGGTTTACATGGAAAAATCCCTATTAAGTTGCATTATACTGGTTTACATGGAAAAATCCCTATTAAGTTGCATTATACTGGTTTACATGGAAAAATCCCTATTAAGTTGCATTATACTGGTTTACATGGAAAAATCCCTATTAGGTTGCATGATTACACTGAAGTCCTTGAAACTGCTGAAGTCCTTGAAACTGCTGAAGTCCTTGAAACTGCTGAAGTCCTTGAAACTGCTGAAGTCCTTGAAACTGCTGAAGTCCTTGAAACTGTTGAAGTCCTTGAAACTCTTGAAATCTTGAAACTGCTGAAATCCTTGAAACTGTTGAATCCTTGAAACTGTTGAATCATTGAAACTGTAGAAATGTCTGAAAGAGCTGAAGTCCTATTAAAATGCATGGGCCTATTAAAATGCATTGCAGAATTCTCAATGCAGATTTTTGTCCGATTGCGGAAAAACCGGAAATCGCTGAAGTCCCAAAAGTAATAGCAATAATCTCCCAAACATGTGGAACGTTTTGATGTATAACTTGTGGAAATTGTTGAAAATGTGAAAGCTGTGAAACGTGTCAAAAAAAATGACGGAATAAAGAAATACAAAACCAATGGTTGACTGCGGAAGGTTCCGCAGTCAATCAATAATAATGCATCAGTTTTATTCAGCGCTTTTTGGACACGTCTCTTCACATTATTATTCTCTCTCTCCAAACACAGGTGATAAACTACTGTAGCCACAGCTGCCCTGGGGCACACTGACAGAAGCCCCTCCCACCACCACCAACCATTCACACACCAGACTCATTCTAATGTGGGGGAAGTGTCTTGCTCAAGGACACAGCCGCCCCACTGTGGCACCTGCTGTTCCCAGAGGTCTCCCATCACAGCACTAACCAGGCCCTGCCCTGCTGAGCCCTGCCCTGCTGGTCTCAGACGATAACAGACACTCTGATTGGATCTGTGTCAATGGGCAGACAGGGTGACAGCTGATGGGGGGGAGACGGGGGGAGGGGGGGAGTGTGAGGCGTTTAACCCTCATGATGCACTTGGCTTCCTGACAGGAGCCACACTGACGGACACGGTGACACCCAGGACTATTACAGGTGTGGGAGAGGGGGGGGGAGGAGAGGGAGAGGGAGAGGGGGAGAGACAGGGGGGGTAAGAGAAATGAGAGAAGAGAATGAGGGGAGAGAAAGGGAAGAGAGAGAAAGATACAGGGGGAAGAGAGAGAGGAGTCTATTCCAGTGCAGTGTGATCTGTTGCAGAGATGAGGCTGCAGTGGTTCAGGAAAAGTAAGTTCCAGTGAATTTAAATTGGTTCAAAAAGGTTTAATGTATAGAACACTGCGTCTGCTACTGCTGCTGCTGCTACTGCTGCTGCTGCTGCTGCTGCTGCTACTGCTGCTGCTGCTACTGCTGCTACTGCTGCTGCTGCTGCTGCTGCTGCTGCTACTGCTACTGCTGCTGCTGCTGCTGCTGCTACTGCTACTGCTGCTGCTGCTGCTGCTGCTGCTGCTGCTGCTGCTGCTGCTGCTGCTGCTGCTGCTGCTGCTGCTGCTGCTGCTACTGCTACTGCTGCTGCTGCTGCTACTGCTGCTGCTGCTACTGCTACTGCTGCTGCTGCTGCTGCTGCTGCTGCTGCTGCTGCTGCTGCTACTGCTACTACTGCTGCTACTGCTGCTGCTGCTGCTGCTGCTGCTGCTGCTGCTGCTGCTGCTGCTGCTGCTGCTGCTGCTGCTGCTGCTGCTGCTGCTGCTGCTTCTGCTGCTGCTGCTGCTGCTGCTGCTGCTGCTGCTGCTGCTGCTGCTGCTGCTGCTGCTGCTGCTACTGCTGCTACTGCTGCTGCTGCTACTGCTGCTGCTGCTGCGTCTGCTGCTGGAACACATTTAGATAACACAAACACATATCTTTACACTGACACAGGTTTGAAAAGCGGTTGGATGAAGCAGATACTTATTTTTTTACTATTGAAAAGCAAAGAGCCCCATTCTAGTCAAAACAGTGACGGAAAGTGACAGTCGTTGTATTTGGACCAGTGTGGACGGGTCCCGGCTCGAAAGTGTCCAAAATGATGTGCGCTGACATGCTGCAGTACCACCCTGGGCCTGTGGGGGTGGACCCTGACATGCTGCAGTACCACCCCGGGCCTGTGGGGGTGGACCCTGACATGCTGCAGTACCACCCCAGGCCTGTGGGGGTGGACCCTGACATGCTGCAGTACCACCCTGGGCCTGTGGGGGTGGACCCTGACATGCTGCAGTACCACCCTGGGCCTGTGGGGGTGGACCCTGACATGCTGCAGTACCACCCCAGGCCTGTGGGGGTGGACCCTGACATGCTGCAGTACCACCCCGGGCCTGTGGGGGTGGACCCTGACATGCTGCAGTACCACCCTGGGCCTGTGGGGGTGGACCCTGACATGCTGCAGTACCACCCCAGGCCTGTGGGGGTGGACCCTGACATGCTGCAGTACCACCCCGGGCCTGTGGGGGTGGACCCTGACATGCTGCAGTACCACCCCGGGCCTGTGGGGGTGGACCCTGACATGCTGCAGTACCACCCCGGGCCTGTGGGGGTGGACCCGGAATAGGAATTAGCCAATGCTAACATATAGCATCTTCTTACCTCTGGAAAACGTCTTTCAGGATGGTCCAAAAGTTGTCTCTTGGCCCAAAGCTCCGTTCCACATGTGAGTCAATGCTGAGTGTTCTGGACCAGTCTAGTTTAGTCGCTGTGGACTTTAGAAGTCTCTCGTTCAAATAAATGGAGCTGCGCCGGCTGACGCATGCACAGATGTGTTTTTTCAGATTAATTATTATAGATTATTATGGAGCACTTTTTAAATACAGCAGCTCAGGAAACTGAGAATGATGGGATTAGGACTCAGTGGCTGAATATGATCTCTCCCTCTCCTCTCTCTCCTCTCTCGTTCCTCTCCCTCTCCTCTCTCTCTCTCCCTCCTCTCCCTCTCCTCTCTCTCTCTCCCTCCTCTCCCTCTCCTCTCTTCTCCCTAGGTCTCCCCAATTGCCTCTCTCTTCTCTCTCCTCTCTCTCTCCTCTCTCTCCTCTCCCTCTCCCCCCCTCTCTCTTCTCTCTCTCTCTCTCTCTCTCTCTCTCCCCCCCCTCTCTCTTCTCTCTCTCTCTCTCTCCTCTCCCTCTCCCCCCCTCTCTCTTCTCTCTCCTCTCCCTCTCCCCCCCTCTCTCTTCTCTCTCCTCTCCCTCTCCCCCCTCTCTCTTCTCTCTCTTCTCTCTCCTCTCCCTCTCCCCCCTCTCTCCTCTCTCTCTCCTCTCTCTCTTCTCTCCCCCCCTTCTCTCTTCTCTCTCCTCTCTCTCTCCTCTCCCTCTCTCCCCCCCCTTCTCTCTTCTCTCTCTTCTCTCTCCCCCCCTCTCTCTTCTCTCTCCCCCCCCTCTCTCTCTCTCTCTCTCTCTCTCTCTCCTCTCCCTCTCCCCCCCTCTCTCTTCTCTCTCTTCTCTCTCCTCTCCCTCTCCCCCCCCTCTCTCTCTCTCTCTTCTCTCTCCTCTCCCTCTCCCCCCCCCCCCCTCTCTCTTCTCTCTCCTCTCTCTCTCCTCTCCCTCTCTCCCCCCCCTCTCTTCTCTCTCTCTCTCTCTCTCCCCCCCTCTCTCTTCTCTCTCCCCCCCCCTCTCTCTTCTCTCTCCTCTCTCTCTCCTCTCCCTCTCCCCCCCTCTCTCTTCTCTCTCTTCTCTCTCCTCTCCCTCTCCCCCCCTCTCTCTTCTCTCTCTTCTCTCTCCTCTCCCTCTCCCCCCCCCTCTCTCTTCTCTCTCTCTCTCTCTCCTCTCCCTCTCCCCCCTCTCTCTTCTCTCTCTTCTCTCTCCTCTCCCTCTCTCCCCTCTCTCCTCTCTCTCTCCTCCCTCTCTCCCCCCCTCTCCCCCCTCCATGCCTCTGTGCCAGCTGTGGGATGAGCCAGGGGCTGCTAAGCGGTGGTCAGCCTCTGCAGATGGCAGCCGGAGCCGCAGCTGCCTGGAGCCTGAGCACGGTCCTCAGAGCTGTGGCAGATTGTGCGTCCACAGAGAGTGATGCCATGATTACAGTTGTGTTGCGTTTCCAGGTGAAAATGCTCGCTCTGGATGAGGACAAAAATCAATGGGTGGGAGGCCCTGTGTGGCCCGGGGGGAGGTCTTTCTGATGGTTTGCGACTCGGCGAGCTGGATGTGACGGACACGCCGCCTGAGCCGTGTACGACGTCCCAGAGCGGCGGCGCCTCGGGGAACACGGTCTCGACGGGGACTGAGAAAAACCTGAATTCATGTTTGAGTCGCAAAACAAAGCGTCAGAGTCTCCAGGGTTTGGTCCAGATGCAGAGAGATGGATCTGCTGCAGTCTGGTTCATCTCAGTCTGGTTCATCTCAGTCTGGTTCATCTCAGTCTGGTTCATCTCAGTCTGGTTCATCTCAGCCTGGTTCATCTCAGTCTGGTTCATCTCAGTCTGGTTCATCTCAGTCTGGTTCATCTCAGTCTGGTTCATCTCAGTCTGGTTCATCTCAGTCTGGTTCATCTCAGTCTGGTTCATCTCAGTCTGGTTCATCTCAGTCTGGTTCATCTCAGTCTGGTTCATCTCAGTCTGGTTCATCTCAGCCTGGTTCATCTCAGTCTGGTTCATCTCAGTCTGGTTCATCTCAGTCTGGTTCATCTCAGTCTGGTTCATCTCAGTCTGGTTCATCTCAGTCTGGTTCATCTCAGTCTGGTTCATCTCAGTCAGATGGTTGCAGAGAGTGTGGAGGGGCTGGATCTGCAGAGTAGAGCTGGAGGAAGCTGAAGTATTCCCAAAATGTGAAGCTTGAAAATGATTATTCCTCAGATTCTTTACTGTAACAAGTTTATGGATTAATCGCAGCTAACCTTTCAATAGTTCACATTTACACTGATAAAGAGAGAAACATGAAGAGGATCAACCCAAATGTATGAAACAGCTTTTGGGATGATGATTTCTCATACTCCTCATGTTACTGCTTTAAGTGAAAAGATTTTAAGTAATTATTTTGAAAGCGTCGTGGTCCATTACTGACAAAACAAATATATCCATCCATCCATTTTCTTCCCCTTAATCCATTTCTGGGTCGGGAGGTGGCAGTCAGAGCACCAGCCCCTCACTGACCCTCTGCAGGTGCTGAGTCCACAGGAGCTGAGATCTTTCAGTGGGAGCTTCAGGCTAAGTGGGGTTAAGTGTCTTGCTCAAGGACACAACGACAGCCGTCATCAGTGGGAGTCATGAAGTAGGTCTTATGGTGGGCTCGAACCCACGACCTTCAGGCTTTAAGGCCAATGCTCTACCAACTGATCTACTGTCGCTCAAAACAAATATAATGTGTTCAAAAACAGCATGTATTGGGGAAAGCAGTGACGTTACCCAGAATGCATTGCAGAGTTAAATATTTGGGTCATATGTCTTAAATGTTAAAATATTAGGCAATGGTCAAAGTACATTAAGAGCAGGACCTTTCTGAGTGGAGTTTGCTTGTTCTCCCTGTGTGTCTGGGTCAGTTTCCTCCGTGTGGAAGTTATAGTTTTGTTTGAAAGGACACAAAAATATTAATGAATCACTTCAAATCCATAGTTTTGGATTTAATATGTTGTATTAAGCGCTGTATAAAACCAATTAATTATTATTATTATTACTTAAAAAAAGAGCTTACGTTCACAGTACACAAAAAGTATATTTAATTTTTGATTTAAGAAACAGTTTTTACAGTGTAGTTGTGACTCAGTATTGGGCATAACCCACACGGAGATTAAAGAGGACATTTTATTGACACTAAACACAGAATACACACATTGACTTGATACGAACAATGTAAAGGCTGTATTCTTTAGTTCTTTAGACTGAAAACCATAAACCACTTCCTGAATGAGTAACAATAGTAAAGCAGCTTCTTAGCACATGCATAACAAAGTAGCCCAGACTTGTTCCCGCCAGCGGAGAAGAGTGCCCTTTGATGACTACAGAATGAGCTCTGTGTCTGATCCAATCCCTTATGACTCTTTTTACCGCAGTTTTTAGCTCAAGGGAAACTGTCTCTTTGGGGATTACAACAACCCCACATCCTCCCCTTTGTCCCGTTTACGTCACCACTCCGTGTTTTTACATCTCCTGAACAAAATCATACTTTATTGGTGTTTTATTAGCGTTCAGTCGACTCGCTCTGGTCCGAGGCTGAGGAGAATCGTTCTGTAAGTGTGTTTTGGGAAACTACTACTACTTTGCTACAAGCCGAGAGGTGGACAGGTTAATGTTTATTTAAACATATTAAAATTATGCATAAAACTAAGGATGCAGTGATACCGATACTGGTGTTGGGTCGATACCATGAGCTTGCACTTGTACTTGTACCATTGGACCCGATCTGGGGAACTGATATCTACATTTTTAATTCACACGACAGCAGACAGCTGTGCGGCACAGGTTGCTTTGGTTCCTCTCAAAGTCGGCAGCGAGAAAAAGATTAACTGCCAATAGATGTCGGCGAGGAAAGCAGACTGAACGTTGTGTAAAACTGTCACGAGGTCCAAAACAAACAGGTATAACACCGGCAACTGATCAAACATCTGGAAACTCGTATAGCGCCTTTGCTAGCACAGGAGCTAGCACAGGAGCTAGCACAGGAGCTAACACCTGAGCCCAAAAACAACAACTCTTCAGCATCTGTTTGAGTGGAACATGACAGTGGCTTTTATTGTTGACTGTTAAAACTATTGTCTTACTAAAAGCCTTTTCTTATTGTTGAAATAAGAAATAAAACATTTTAAATGTCAGTGGTTTTAGTTTTATGAAGCAGAGACAACACACTTGTCTCCACATATAAAGTATTGAACCAAGACCTAACACGGTGGACCCTACGTTATTTAATGATTAAACAAATAATACGTTCTCATGTCTCTGTGCGGCCGCTTCTAACACTAATCAGACATCATCCCGGGGCCGAGATCGTTCATTCTTGGGCCGCATCTGGCTCTCGGGCCTGGACTTTGACACCCATGGTCTCTGTGAGTGTAGGCGTCTGACATGTGTCGAGTGCATTAGAGACGGAAGAACACTTAACTGTGAGTGAGCACTTTTTACTGAGGGAAGGAGAGTAAGTGAACTTTATGGACTCAATGCTGAGGAGGAGAAACCCTAGGAGACTCTCGACTAACGTGATGTGTTTACTTTATCGAGATTTGATTTGATAAATATTGCTTTACGTCACATTTAATCTACTGTATCTACAAACAAGAGAGAGAGAGACCAGAGAGAGACCGGAGAGAGACCAGAGAGAGACCGGAGAGAGAGACCAGAGAGAGAGACCAGAGAGAGACCAGAGAGAGACCAGAGAGAGACCAGAGAGAGACCGGAGAGAGAGACCAGAGAGAGAGACCAGAGAGAGACCAGAGAGAGACCAGAGAGAGACCAGAGAGAGACCGGAGAGAGAGACCAGAGAGAGAGACCAGAGAGAGACCAGAGAGAGACCGGAGAGAGACCAGAGAGAGACCAGAGAGAGACCAGAGAGAGACCGGAGAGAGACCAGAGAGAGACCAGAGAGAGACCAGAGAGAGACCAGAGAGACCAGAGAGAGACCAGAGAGAGACCAGAGAGAGACCAGAGAGAGACCAGAGAGAGACCAGAGAGAGACCAGAGAGAGACCAGAGAGAGACCAGAGAGAGACCAGAGAGAGAGACCAGAGAGAGAGACCAGAGAGAGACCAGAGAGAGAGACCAGAGAGAGAGAGACCAGAGAGAGAGACCAGAGAAAGACCAGAGAGAGACCAGAGAGATAGACCAGAGAGATAGACCAGAGAGAGACCAGAGAGAGAGACCAGAGAGAGAGAGACCAGAGAGAGAGACCAGAGAAAGACCAGAGAGAGACCGGAGAGAGAGACCAGAGAGAGAGACCAGAGAGAGACCAGAGAGAGACCAGAGAGAGAGACCGGAGAGAGAGACCAGAGAGAGAGACCAGAGAGAGACCAGAGAGAGACCGGAGAGAGACCAGAGAGAGACCAGAGAGAGACCAGAGAGAGACCAGAGAGAGACCAGAGAGAGACCAGAGAGAGACCAGAGAGAGACCAGAGAGAGACCAGAGAGAGACCAGAGAGAGACCAGAGAGAGAGACCAGAGAGAGAGACCAGAGAGAGACCAGAGAGAGAGACCAGAGAGAGACCAGAGAGAGACCAGAGAGAGACCGGAGAAGAACCAGAGAGAGAGAGACCAGAGAGAGAGACCAGAGAGAGAGACCAGAGAGAGAGACCAGAGAGAGAGAGACCAGAGAGAGAGAGACCAGAGAGAGACCAGAGAGATAGACCAGAGAGATAGACCAGAGAAAGACCAGAGAGAGACCAGAAAGAGACCAGAGAGAGAGACCAGAGAGAGACCAGAGAGAGAGACCAGAGAGAGACCAGAGAGAGAGACCAGAGAGAGACCAGAGAAAGACCAGAGAGAGCCCAGAGAGAGAGACCAGAGAGAGACCAGAGAAAGACCAGAGAGAGACCAGAAAGAGACCAGAGAGAGACCAGAGAGAGAGACCAGAGAGAGACCAGAGAAAGACCAGAGAGAGACCAGAGAGAGAGACCAGAGAAAGACCAGAGAGAGACCAGAGAGAGAGACCAGAGAGAGACCAGAGAAAGACCAGAGAGAGACCAGAGAGAGAGACCAGAGAGAGACCAGAGAAAGACCAGAGAGAGACCAGAGAGAGAGACCAGAGAGAGACCAGAGAAAGACCAGAGAGAGACCAGAAAGAGACCAGAGAGAGACCAGAGAGAGACCAGAGAGAGACCAGAGAGAGAGACCAGAGAGAGACCAGAGAGACATGTGTGTGTCTCTGTGCGATTGTGTGTGTGAATATGGTACAATGTGAGTTCGTTGTGTGTCCAAGTCCTATTGATTATTTGTCAGTAGAAAATCCTACATAAACTTTGGGCCATCCTTAAAATGTCCCTAATTTACATAAAACCTCTATCACTTTTTAGTTATTCAGAAATTAATTAACGTGTTTGTCCAATAAAAAGGTTGGGGACCACTGCTCGGTCACTGGACTTTCACAGATGATACTTTAGAATGTTTTTGTGCTTCTAACGACCTCTTCCGCAGAGAAAAGGTTGAAGGAGAGATTAAAAATGTAGAGTAAGAAGTGGAGATAATTAATGAGCTCAGAGCCTTTAATTCATAAAACATGCTTTTTTAGTTATTAGACGGAAAAGCAATATTTCACCAAGGATCTTCTTCAGAATATTCTATTCTTTTAAACCCGTGGATAAGAAATGTGAAAACAGTTATCTACTTCCTATGGTATGGTTTGGTATGGTATGGTTTGGCATGATATGGTGTGGTATGGTATGGTATTTTTAGTCAAACAAGAACATGTGTTAAATGTAGTACCCGCAGTAGCCACTGGGGGCAGTGTGTTGCACAGACTCATGGCCGTCACAGAGGAAGCAGATTCAGCAAAAGTTGTTCCACGTGTTTTCAGGTGGATCGAGTTGAGTTTGAGACAGATTTTTATTATGTACAAAGAAATGTCTCTGTGTAACTGTGTCTTATCCTCAGGCTTTCCTCTCTTTGCTCTACCACTTGCTCTTATCCTGCTACAAGAAATCTAATTGCTAATACTGCCCCCAACAAAATGTCTTTATCACGCATTCTCTACATTAAATGATAACAGTATTTTTCTGTTCAGCCACTTACAGAAAGTTAACTCTAAGGATGAAAACCGAACTTTATTTT